CAGCACGCTGGCTGCCATCATAGTGGAGTGGGAAAGCCAGTGAGCTGGCTCCCATAATCTAGATGGCAAAGCCAGCACGCTGGCTGCCATAGTATTCTTATATAGATGTATATATGTATGTATAGATAGTAGGTGGCAAAGCCAGCATAAAGCAGATGTTCATGAAATTGTTTCGTTTCGTGTTCGTGGCTCAAGCAGAGAGACCGCAGCAATTTCCAAGTGAGTTCGCGCAAGTCTCCACAGACTGTAGCCGGGAACGTACAGCAAGGCAAGAGTCGTGAAGAATGTACTTGCAAGAAGTTTCAACACACCTCAGAAGCTTCTCGTCAAGAGGCGCGCGGACCATGGCCAGTCTGCAGGACGCAGTTCTGCGAAACGCGGAGGCAGCGGGTCAGCAGGAGCAAGAGGCACAGCGGCTGCGAGACGGACACCGGGAGGGAGGCGCGGCGTGGTTGCGGACCGAGTTGGAGGCCAAGAACCGCGCCGACTTGCGACGGCTGTGCGCTTTGTTGGGGCTGCCACAGCAGCGCGACGGCACAGCCCTTCGGAAGGAGCAGCTGCTGGAAGCCGTAGTGGATAGCTTCTCATCGCAGGAGGGATGGAGTAAGGGGATGGGCGTAGTGTTTAGTGCAATTTTGCGCGCAAGCTGTTTGTGTTGAAGTGAGTGTTGGCTAGACTGGAAAGTGGAGAGCTGCTCTTCGCAGGGAGGGTTGTGTTCGGGGATGGGTGTCTGCTTTTGGTGTCCATGCAAAGTCCCTGACAGGAACCGGCACATCCGAACGTTGAGGATGGTTTTGAGAAAGACATCTAGATATAAGACTTTCAATCTTTGTTCAGATACCCAACAATCTTTGTTAAGATACCCCATTTGTGTTAGGGGATGGGTGCAGTGTACAGTTCAACTTAGTTGAGATGCTGTTTTCTTGTGCTCCAATAGGTGTCTGCTTCTGATATCCCTGCAAATTCCCATACAGGAAGCAGGGCAGCAGGAGCCAGAGGTGCAGCGCCTGCGAGAGGGACATGGAGAGGGACTGTGTGTCTCATGCCGTGACTTCTTCCTGATAAATTCTGTGTGGACGTCGTTCTGCGGAAGCACTACGCTATCCTTGCTGTGTACAAAGACTAGTCGCGAGCCGAACAACGAGAGTGCGCTAAAACATCTACAGTGCCTGCTGTGTGTCACTTCACGCTACTTTGTCACGTTTTTTCTCTGAAACAGTCAATTTCTCTGAGACAGTCAATTACTCAATGACAAGCATAGTGGTTGGTTATACTCAAATATCTACTCAACAGCAGTGACGAATATACTTGGAAGAAGGTTCACGCAACCCACAAGCTTTTGCAATCGCACATGAACCAGAGCCTTCTTATTCCTCTTTGCCCAGCCATCATGCCAGGGAACCTTGGCATTGTTGACGACCACTTCTTCAGCGTCAACCAGGATGACCAGAGGCAGATGAT